ACTTATTAATTTAGTCTAGATGATATTAAATACCTTAATTTTTCACAAACAACTTTTACTTTGGAGACTTTTTTTAAAGAAAGTATGAAAAATCCAATGGGCAGTAGATTAGCCCCACCTTTTGCCATTACTTTTATGTTCACAATACTAATTAAAATATCAGATACTGCCCCCATAAACATGACTTTTTCCATCACACCTCCATGACCCTGGTTATAACCATAAAGCTTTTGCTTCTGGCCAGAGAGGCAACTGTATAACAAAAAATTTGTTATGTGTTGCTTATGTCATGATACTCATAAGAGAAAAACATACAGGCTGAGCAGAGACAGAATAATAAAACATTTTAGAAACTATAATCAAAAAACAAACATCCAAACCTATAGGTTTCCATTATTTTAAACAATATAGCAGTGATAGCCTTTAGCAGTTCCTTTCACTGTACACATTCACCAAATACACTAGTGGATTTTGTGCAAAAAATAAACACTCAACCTAGCTGGTCTATTATTTATATGGACTGTTCCTATATAAAATTGAAGTTCTTAGACTGATTACTTACTCTACCCTACTTGTATGTTAACTATATAATAAGTAACAATAATTCATGCTTATTCTAATTAATATGAGCCACAAATACACAAACCCATTAACATATTTAAATGGTTTATCATAAATCTTTTAAATCACAATCTCTAAGGGATTAAAGCCGGTTCTAGCAACGTGCAATCTCTGGTTATTTTTTAGTCATTAGACACGGGAGGATCAGGTGTGCACTGGATCTCTACTTCCCTTCTTGGCTATTCCACGAGTACTTGAATCTGTTTGATGAATCAACTACAAAAAATTTAAATCACTAGCAAGGAGATACTTCTCTCCTATTGGCTTATATTCATCTCTGTTTAAATGACTGTTGTTAGGTGATATCTTCTCAGTTAGAGTACTTTATGCTGAACCCTAAAAAGTTATGACTGAATGTAAAAAAATAACTTGTAACAATATGTCAACCACACTATGTTTACTACATCCAGTGCTAATGAGGCTTTTCTTTAACTCCATAGCAGAGATCTTCAGGTCAGCTGTGATACAAAAGGCACAGTAACAGTTGAGATGCTATTATCAAATTGCATGAACATCTGTTACAGTGTGAATTAGATTAACCTTTTGAAGTAAAATTTTCATCAACTTAATGCTGTGAAGTAAAATTTTCATCAACTTAATGTGAGTCATTTACAAATCAGAATAAGGATTAATAAATAATATTTATTTACTTTCATTAACTTTACTCATCAATCAGAATTAACTAATGAACCAGCAATCTGTATTTGTAACGGGTAACAAATGTAGAGTAGGTAACATGTTCAATAAGTATTTACAGGAAGGAACACTTCCATACATGTATTAGCTGAAGAAGTAATGTTTTTGATATAAAGAGTACACAGATATCAAACAATACTCTCACTACTAAGAAAAAAAACTAATTCTCACAGAATTAGTTGATACAAAACTCACAATACAAAGTTTTGACCTCACTCTTACATGTTTGGGTGTCTAAATAACTTGCATTATTGAAATACGCCATAATGAAAAACAATGATAACTGGAAAAATCATATTCCAAAAATGTATTTGACTCAATAATAGTATTCAGTCTCACAGTATTAACATCCTAGTGTTGCATCAGATTAAAGAGTTGGTTAAACCATAAAGCATTCATGTCGCAAGTAACAACAGATCAAGAATTTGGTCCTCATATTGTGATATTTGTTACTCGTTGCAAATCAACATAAGCATTTTCCACTAAGTTAAGAGCAAGATAGAAAAATATTTGAATTACAGTTTGGTACTTAAAAACACCTCTAAAGAAAATTAAAACCAATAAAACTGAAATAACATGAGAGAAAATGCAGATATAATTGATTGTTTTTTTCACCTGAACAACACCTTATAACACAGTGGGCTAAACATCCAGGTCAGAGATTCCTTTGCTTCAAACATAGTTGTTCCCAATTTTGAACTGAGAACCAAAGGAAAGACAACCAGTTAGCAGCACCCACCACCTGAAACAGATCCTCTTAACTGAATAGTAAAGATGACTGTCACTCTCATGATACACCCACAGCTGAAAGTGGAAGTGTGCTTTGTAGCACCATGTCTTGAACTCAAGACCCTTGGATTGCCAACTCAGTGCTAACACCTAGGCTGCACTTAAACAATAATCAACAAAGATTTAGTAAAAAAACAAGTTTTTACCCTTAAGAATACTTCATACTTTATAGTCAAAATTTTGTAAAACTTGAGAAATAAATAAAAAATATTGCATTTTACCTACACACACACAACAACAAAAACATTTTAAAAATAAATAATATGTAGTGTACGTCTAGATTCAATTTAGTGTTCAAAAATAAGTAAGTTTGCAGAGAATCAAAACTCACAGATGAGCTAAGATAAAAACAATTTACTTACAAGCTCAACTGGAACTATAAATCCCGACTTTGAGCAGTGCTGGGTATTTGGCTTAGTATTTAATGATTTATTCAATATATTTCCAATAACAAAAAATACTGTATGAAAAAATAACCAACAAAAATTACTTGAACTATATTTTTAATACTTGTATGTATACCAATGTATGTATGCAACACAAAACAGCAAAAGGCCTAAACTACCTAAAAGCATCTGGACAAAGCTCACAATAACAATTTCTTGAACATGTGCATGAGATCCCTCAGTCCATACATTTCTTTTAAAGTATATTGTAGTAAGAAGTTAATATGCACAAACAGTTGTTTCAATTACATTTTTATGATTCTAAATACATAGTTTACTGATCTAATGCTAAAACATCAAACAAAACTGTAAATATAACATATGGAACAGTAAATATTTTATTTATTATCTTATATATATATATATATATTCTAAAAGAGAGAAATAATAAAACTTTATTAAAAATGTTTGTGTGTGTGTGTGTGTGTGTGTGCGTGCGTGTGTGTGTAACTCGTATCGTCCACTGCCCAGGACGACAAGTTTTATCATTACACTCACTTTGCCCATTGGACACATACATTTTTTTCTCACATTGCTCACTGTATTCCTAGAATTCTAGCACAGGAACATTTTAAAATGTGTATGTCTCTTAAACGTCAAATCAAAATTATATACACAAATATCCAAGTCAGACATAAAGTAAAAGACATACTTAAGTTAATACAACAATATTATTACAATTCTTTTGTCTACTGGAGCCCAGTAAAGTTTAACTGGCAGCTGTAGGAAGAATGTACAACATTACAAAAAAAAATATTTAATGTTACCAGAGTTCTTTGTCAATTCGTGTATTGGGTATTGTACATGCTGCACTGTAACCTCCTAATATATAATTGTTAAAAACCATAAAATATGCAACTAAATATAAATGAAAAATATAGTATATGAAATTTCTGACAAAACTGATCTGTCACTGGCACTATACTGATAAATATGCAGCATTTTGTTTAAAGAAGGCCCATATATAAACAGTTTTGTCAAATAATGAAATTTACTTGTTATAAAAGGTTTCAAGTAATTTATCCCCCCCCCCCCATATCATTTTGGCATGACTTGTACAAATGCAATACCAAGCTTACTATACATATTCTTTTCAAAGAGGCTCTGTCAAAAAATAGATATCCACTTATATTTAATTTCATCTCAAACTGAAAGACTTACAAATCCACCCATTTTGATCTAAAACTGTATACAGATTTTGAAGACTGGTAAAATTGCTATTCAATAAAATACAACTAAGAGGATACTGGCCTACACAGACAATCACACAGTCCTGAGAAGATTAAATTAATGCATAATTTTTTTTTTCTCTCTCTCTCTCAAAGAAGCTATACAAATAAAGCAATGAAAGAAAAATAACACATTTATAATTACAACAAAATAATATGTTTAACACATGAGAAAACAAGAAGTTTTAGATACTGTATCTGTCTGAAGCTTTTCCAGTGTATTATTGCAGACCAGTGATAAATAATAGTTCATACAAAACATTGTTCAAAAAATATAAAATTTCAGAAAAAAAAAAACAAATCAAAAATCTGGTCAAACTAAGCCTTTTTTAACAGTTGGCATTACTTTAACAAAGTTTTTTTTTACAGTGTGAAAAAATATTTTTTATTCTTTTTGTTTACATTGTTACTCAGACAAAAGTGAGTACAACATTCATTAAATAAATTATGCAAATTTGAGTATTAGTTTTGTAAATTAGATTAATTCCATTACTATCTAGCATTTTTGTTCAAGATCATTTTGCTTTACTTATGCTATATGAAGTATCTAATGTAGATAAAGAATGAAGAGTATACAGGAATGATCTCTTTAGTTGAAGAACAGTGACCAGTCTCCTCCCTCTCTCAGGCTTGGAAAATACAGTCAGCTTTTTTTTTTTTTTTTTTTTTTTTTTTTTTTTTTTTTTTTTTTTTTTTTT